GTAACATGTCTACAGGATAGTGCTGTGATCATCAACTGGTGGCTCGCGGAAACACACGGATGACAGTTGGTTATAGCGGTGTTGGTTTAACTGAGAACGCCATGTCGATGATGGCCTGTAGGGCTGTAGCACCGTACCACTGTACCAGGGTGAGCCAAAAAAAAAAAAAATGCCTGTAAACACACAAATGACAGTTATGTTAATGGTTATAGCGGTGTTGGTTTAACGGAGAACGCCAAAAAAAAATTTATAAAAATTACCAAAGTTTGTCTCCAAATCTTTAATCCTGCTAAATTAAAGACGTGAATGTAAAAAAAAAAAAGAAAAAAGTTTTTTAGTGCTGTGATCATCAACTGGTGGCTCGCGGTCCAAATCTGGCCCACAAAACCATCAAATTCGGCCGACAACTTGATTTTGAAATAAACATCGAATATTAATTTTAGACAAAGAAAATGTGATTTTTTATTTTTTTTTTTATTTTTATTGTCTGTCTGATTGATGTTAGGTGCAAACAGCTGATGGTTTGAAGGACAAGTGTGAGCAACAACTTGGTCATTCACTTTTAATACCACCCACATTAGAATATAATTGGAATAATAACCATTTACAGATATTCTTTAATGTCTGTTTGATCCCAGTCTCTCTCTGTGTGTGTGTGTGTGTGTGTGTTACTCATGTCGTGGCCCTTTGTGTGGAGCGTTTTGTCTCCTTCTGATTAACAACTTAGCTCATAAAAGCCAGCGAGAGTAAAATTATTTTTTGCAACATAAAAATGCCGTCGATTGAGCGCAAAAAAAGCAATTTAGCAGGTTTCACCCCACGGTAATTTCACCCATGTTCTGTTTAATGGCTTTGTTTTGCGGGAAAAAAAAAAGAAAAAAAAAATGGAAGCGAATGTCGGAACATTGGTGAGGAGTTCATAAATTGAATTTTAAATTTAGCAGTTGAATAACAATCGTCTCTTCTTCACGTTGTTGAATGGCATGCCCAGATGAAGAGTAAAAAAAAAAAAAAAACAATTTGTGTCTCTGCACCTCTGTCTTCCTGTCCCTTCTGGCTAAAACTTGATTCACATAATGACATATTCATACTTTTTTATTTTTTTTATTTCCGTGTACAACTATTTCTCTGAAGGGAGAGGGGGGGGAAAAAAAGAAAAAGAAATAACGATTCAATTTGTCAAGACGTATTGTCATTCCTGGTACCTGGTGGACTGAGGCAGATGTTGGCCGTATCTCTGAGACGAGGCTGCACCGAGGCTGGAATCTCATTTGGTGAAACTTGTCATGAGAGCAGATATGAGGCTCCGTTTGGGGAGACGGGGAATGAAATTTTTTTTTCCCTTTTCCGTTGAATAGGTGTGGATAATGTTTTGTGTCCAGGATGGAGTAACGCAGTCGTCACGGCGATGTCTGTAACTTTATTTAAAGATTTCCCACAAGCGTGGGTTTAATTGAGCGTCTGTTTTTTTTTTTTTTGCTTCGGAAACAGTGGCTTTTTCAGGGTCCGGTGACTGTGTGTGTGTGTGTGTGTGTGTGTGTGTGTTTACAGTCATGTGAGCGGATTTACCTGTGTGCACTCTGCATTTCTGGCAAACAGACGACCTCTTGAGACGGATCAGTGAACTGGATGTGAAGGCAGAGTGTGTGTGTGTGTGTGTGTGTGTCCCATATCACAGGTGGCACAGTGCCCTGGATTTGGAGACACTGGATAGTACCACATTTGTGTGTGTAGTTGTTCTCTGTCGCCACCAGGTCACTGATACAAATATTTCTCGACAAATACAAAGTGATTTTTTCATTTTTTTTTTTCAAGCTCTTTAGCTTAAGGTTAGCGCGTCACCTCTTGTACTGTCTTTCAAGGAGTGTGTATTGGCAACAATCTGGCGAATCAATACCTATCACGACATGATATGTATCGTGACACGATACGTATCACGATAAAGCTGCAACAGTACGATATATTGCGATATACTGCCATGCTATAGCCACGGCGTTATATTGAGATTTTTATTTTTTTTTTTTTACAACAATTGAACTGTAGTCAAACTGTCACTCACAATGCTGTCCCATGGTTAGCATCAGAGTTAGTAACGTTGGAACGGACGTCGTAGCCGCGGTACGACTCTTCGGCGTGGACTTCAGGCCAGTGTTACCACCCAGTGAAATGTCAGGAAGGGATTTTTCTCACCTTCTCAGGATTAGGAGTCTGGAAATCCTGTTGATACTGGCCTTTTCAACAACCCCCCCACCACTACCATCCAAAAAAACTCCATGCTGTGAAATGACTTTTAGATACCCAAGAGCACTCATTCTTCTCACTCGCCGGCTGAATTTCCAGTGTCTGTCTCGGTCGCTCAAACAGACTCTCTCTCTCTCTTTCTCTCTCTCTCTGTCTCTCTCTCTGTCTCTCTCCCTGCCTTAAAGTTCATGAATTAGTCCCAACTACTCCACGCACATGCCTCAGTAGACAAAACCACTTTAACACTAGTGCACGGCAACCGTCGGCACGTAACCTCCCTGAATAAAGTGCTCCCTTCCCCTGACATGTCTTCTTGATATTAGCCTGGCAATATGAGGCAGCAGCAATTTCTCCTCTCCATTAGACGAGGTGATATTGAGTTGGGGAGAAGAAAAGGAACTGAGCAGGGAGCTGGTGGTGATGGAGTTGGGGCAGGGGGAAGGAGGTGGGGNGAGTGGGAGATGAGAGACGAGAAGTGAAAGTGGACTGTGTGTGTCTCTGTGTAAGAAACTGTGTAGGAACAAAATGTCATAAATCACACATGATCCTTCACGGCAGAAACAAAAGAGAGAGAGAGCGGCGGGGGAGAGAGAGGGGGGGGGGGGGGGGGGGGGGGGGGGGGGGCAGAGCTCACCGGCTCGGGGTGAGGACTCAGACTTAGCTGAGTATGAAAACTTTGTAATAAAGAGTCACTGAGCCGACCATGAGCGGCGGCGACAGCGGCAGCGGCGAGGGAAGTTCAACTTCCTGTAAAATATCCCGAAACGAGCGGCTGAAAATCCACTCTTTCGTTTTCAGTCCGTTGACTAAAATCAGCTTCAGTTAGCGTCTGTCAGGCGGCGGATTTGGACGCGTCCGTTTCACTGCGTGGACGAGACGATCGTTGAATAAATTACGAAAAAAAACCCAAACCATCACTTCCACAGAACTGTAGCTGCGCTGTGGGTGGAGTCCATGAGCTGTGGGCGTGGCCATGGTTCTGCGTGATGATTGGACGGAAAAGTATCGGACTCTTAATGGATTTAATCTAAATACTCAGTCGTTGTTAAAGACGACTTTTGAGGTGATCGTAAATTGTGATTGTAAATCACAAATCTCATCTCAGTTTTCTGTTATTGTTTTTGTTTGTTGGTGTTTTTTGTTTTTTTTTCACATTGACGGGGAGTGAGGGGTGAAGTGATGAAGAGCAGTGACTAGCCTAGCAGCTCAGTTTAGCTCAGAGGCTAATGAAAAGCACTGGAAATGTGTGTATTTTCTGCCTGAAAATAAAGTGAAATGACCATAACTGCTCTTCTTCCTCTTCTTCTTTCTCTTCCTCTTCTGCTTCTTCCAATTCTGCTTCTTTTATCAATCAACCAATCAATAATTCTATCTGTCTCTCGGCCTTACATTTGTTCTAGCAGTGCACAGGAACTTAGCTTCTTCCAATTCTGCTTCTTTTATCAATCAACCAATCAATAATTCTATCTGTCTCTCGGCCTTACATTTGTTCTAGCAGTGCACAGGAACTTAATATTTAAATAGAACTATATCCCGGTCCTAATCCGATCTTCTGCTGTTTCTCACCAACACCAACCTCCACTGTTGGAAAAAGCCTCTGAAATATGATCAAATGAGTCCCTGCCTGTGTGTGCAGCTGACTCCCAGGGTGTGGCGTGGAAGAACAGGTACGCCGACTGTTCTAAATCCCCTGCAGGGATTCAGAGCTGCCGACCTGTTGCGGGTTTTTGTAACGTTTGGACCGCCGCCAAACTCTGAACAACCGTTACCTGTTAGTTCACGAGAACAATAAAGTCAAGGTAATGATCTGCGTTTGTGTCTTTTTTACCAACAGAACGAGTCGAAAACGCTGCTGCGTGCCAGTAATCACTCTGGTGGGCTGTGGTTATGGGAACAAGGCCACGGAGTTTTGTTTTTTTTTTTATTGCCACTGGTTCCCATTGCTTTCTTTTTTATTTTTTTTATTTTATTGCCACTGGTTCCCATTGCTTTAAACGAGATATAAAAGTCTTTAAAAAACCTTTCCAGATATTAAGAGGAAGATACGAGCAGCAGGTTTTAATGAAATCATTTTTCCTTTGGACGACTGCCACGGAAGTTTGTTTCCTCTCACCGTGCGCCGTCGTCCTCTTTGCTGACTCCGGTCCATTTGTTGTTTCTTTATGACCCGTAGACATTCATTTAAAGCCCTTTGCTTGTTGTGCAATTCCAAAATAAATTAACGGTGTCTGCAGTTTAGAGGGTCTGCGCTAAGTGGACGGCTGTCAAGGGCTTTGACTTGGCAGATGGCGAATGAATTCATTTTGAGCGCCTCTCGGAAGTTCGCGGTTCACTGTTATGAATGAACGCAAAGCACCTGCCAAGAAAGCAACGGCGCAGACCCGTCATTAATCCCTGCCTCTGGTCCACAGGTGTCCTCCATGGACTTCATGGCGATGAAGCGATCGCAGCTCTACGGCATGGCCAACAATCCTTACTCTGCTCCGCAGCAGCAGCAGCAGCAGCAGGGCGGGCGGACCGAACCCCCCGGCCCGCCGGCCCACCCCCCCCCGCCCCCC